TGCTGAAGTTTCTGGAGTGTTGGCGATGCGCCAGACGCATCGCTGCTAGCTTTAAGATAGCCTCTGTGTCATCTGCAATAGGTGCATTGCTGCTTTTTCCTTCCTTTTCTCTATAAAACATATATATTTCCTCATAATTCCATCTATTTATCCAAAACCAAGTGTACAAGTCTTTCCTAAGAAATAGTCCCATTTATACCGGATTCAATGCATGAAACATACGTTTTTAATTTCAGAAGACACTAAACATGCACAATTTGTAAACACTTTTTCCTAAAATTCAAGACTTATCAACTAGCATTTATATAAATTATCTAATTTTGAGTATTTTGCTGCAGCTTTGATGACACTACAACATCGGGTCTAAAAAGAGACAAAAAGAAGCAAGCTGGCAGTGAAAAGACTTCTCAACGAAATTTACCATAGTAACGGGAGGTTTCACCTGGTAGTGAGAGCTGGGCCCCACAGGACTTGTTTTGTTGCCCTAAAATCGGAGGGAGGTATAAATGCCAACAAGAAGAGAAGCCTCTAGACACACACAAGACATTTCCATTTCATTCTTGAAATCACTCAACCCTCACTTTAAGAAAACCTCTCCAACCGTTCGAGGAAGTCAAGAGGAGAAGAAGACCAGACAACTGCAGTTGAGAAACAAGCCGAGAACTCTTGTTGGGAGCTGATCTTCAGCTCCCTCTCTTCATCTTCAAAGCTCTTGTATTGTTTTTATTCCTATATTTTTGATTCCCCTTATGACATTGGAGATGTCGTGAACTCATTTCAATGGCTGTAACTTTGTTGTTTTGCATCAATGATAGTGTGCTTTGATTTGAAGTTGTTGTATCACTCTATTTTCAATGTGTTTGATCTCCATATTGAAATATCTTCTTAATAACTTCATTTCGAGCTAGAGGTTACTTGAGTTTAGAGTGTGGTAACTTAGGGATAATCACCACCTAGCTTGGTTAAAAACTGTTCATATATGCTGTTATCGTTTGTCTAAGAACTCTAATGGTAGAAAATTTGGGGTGTTTGGAAAAACATCTTGTTTGTTTGACCACTGCATTTACTTCATTAATGGTGCAGCATCGTTAGAGTAGCCCAGAAAGAATCGTTGTTCTCTCCCTCTTACGCCCTTATTTTCATAAAAAGTTACTCGTTGATTGTTTATGTTTGTTAGCCCTAGCGAAAATTTACGTGTGTTTAAGAATATAATTGAAACGCTCCATTATTATTTATTTTAGCATTTATTCAAAAGAAAAAATTATTTAGTTGAATACACTGATTTTTTGGGTAAATAGTGAGTGTTTGGGTACTTAATCTCTGTGGATTCAAACTTTTTATTATCTGCTGCGACGATTATACATATAAGAACTGGTAACATAATCTGTAGACAACAATAGGGGAAGGATTTGCTCCAAAGAAGAACGACACAACAAGATTTCGAGTAGTAAAATAAGATTGAAGGAGATGGAGATGTGAACAGGGAGAAGTGAGATTGAAAGAAAGGGAGAGGTGAGAGACGAATAGAGGGAGATGAGAGAGAGGGAGGGAGGGAGATGAGAGTGTAGGAGGCGGCACAAAAGAAAAAGAACTAGGAACCCGAAACTTATTAAAAATCAGTTCGATTCGAGCTGAACCAAAATTTTCTTTTTTAAATTCGAGACTGAACTGAATCGATCGGTTCAAGAATTTTTTAACCGAATCCAAACCGAAAATTTAACCAATCCAAACCTACTCGGATTGTTCGGGTTATCAGGTTGTTTGAACAGTCCTAAATTAACCTATATCCTATTCAAAAGGTCGACGGACCACTTCAAAAGTAAATGATTTTCTTATAAATGATCTATATTCTTCAAAACAGAAAATCTATTAAAAAAATAATAAATGTCAAGGATCCAATTACACGACTTTTCACCTATTCTCCATGCCATCTCATTCCAAATTCCAAACTTAAACTTAATTTCTTTGATGGGGTCTGTGAAGCTCCCTCCGTCGACGGCGCTGAAATGGGCGGGGTTCGTCTCCGCCGTGTGGGTTCAGGCCATTTCCGGCAACAACTACACCTTCTCCAACTACTCCGACGCCGTCAAGACTCTCATGAATCTCACCCAGCTCCAGCTCAACAATCTCTCCGTCGCCAAAGACGTCGGCAAGGCCTTCCGAATTCTCGCAGGACTTCCAGCGGAATCACGGCCCTGTTCGTCTCCGTCATGTTCTTCCTCCGTGAGATCCCACCCTCAGCCGCAGCCCAAGCCCAAGAGGAGGAATCCAACTACTTCGCCGTATTCAACACCCTCGCTGTCGTCGTCGCTCTTTTTGGGAATGACATGTAAAACAAACCAGCCTCAAAATTGGGGTCGAAGGACAAGTGGCAAGATTTGAAGAGTTTGGCATTAAGGGACACATGTGAGGCTTAAGTTTTTTTTTGGAGGTTTTTAATTTCTTGGAAAATAAAAAACTATTTGGACCTTACAACCACTGACACTCTCCTACCATTCCTCCTTTACTCATTTTCCTCCCTTCTTTATTCAATTTGTGTTTCCTAATATTTTTACTGGCCTAGTTTCGCATCCAAGTCGTGCCGATTTTACTTTCAAGGTAATAGTTCTGTCCACACGTAAATCAAAAACTCCAAAAGAGTTCATATCAAGGGAGAAGCAGAGCACACGAATTAACGAAGTGCTGCTGCTTAAGGGAGAAGCAGAGCCAAACAGTTCCGAAACAGGGGATGGGGAGGCGGCGGTGAAGGAGGAGGAAATAAGAGTGGTGGAGGAAAAGAAACGACCGGCGATCGAAGAAGAGCACACGATTTTGGGGTGTTTTCAGAAAATGGAGTTGCCGCCGGCGAGAAATTGAAAATGAGTTGGCATGGAGAATGGGTGAAAAGACGTGAAAACGTGAGGAGTGGGGAGACATTTTTCTTTTAAATTATTGTTTTTGTTTTTTTTTTAATTTTTTAATTTGAACCAATTCAAGTTTGACCCGATCCAAAATTGAACCAATTGTACAATTGTACATTACTTGTACACATGATATATGCCACGTCAGATTTCTGTTAAATCTAATCAATTTTTTAATCATAGGGACTAAATTGTTATATTTTGAGAGTACATGGACTAAATCGTTACTCTTGAAAGTTCGAGATTAAATTGTTATTTTCACCAAAATTCAGTCGAGATTAAATTGTTATTTTCACCAAAGTTCAGGGACTAAATGTGTTTTTTAACCTAATAAAATAACATTAAAATTTTGTTAATAATGTGCTAAATTAATTATTTTATTGTAATAAATTAATTTATTAAAGTATCTATTTAATTTTTTTTATATAAAAATGTAATAAATTGATCCAAATAAATAGGGGATGAAAATGTTTAATTTTGTTTACAAATTGTTTTATGATAATTATTAAGATTGATGGCTAAATAAAACCAACAATATTGAAATAAAATCAACAATATTTTAGATATATCACTTATAATATATTTACTAAAGAGTGAAATGTAATTAAAATATAATTACTTAAAATTATTTTAATTTAACTTAATAAAAATAAATTAATTATTAAAGATTAATTTCGATTACTTTTAATGCTGTATACACATCATTTTGCCAAATATGTGTATATTAAATTTTAGTTAAATAAAATTGTGTTAAATTGTCGGTGTAACTAAAGTTTAAAGTTTAGAATTTAGAATGGTAATATAAAATAATTAATAACTTAAAATAATTTAATTTATATTATTTATTTTTATGATTAGTTATTAATCAATGTTTACAATAACATAAAATTCATATTTCTAGAGTAATCACATAAGATAAAAATATGTATAATTTATTTTCAGACATTTTAATTTCATGCATCTTAAAATAAGATATATATATAACCAAACACAATTATCTTCGATTCTCAATCCAGGAAAGCAGAACTGCATGTAGTAACCCTTATTTTTTTTTTATTTATAAGAAAAATAATAAAAATATGTTTAGCGACTATTTATTGTTTTTTTTTTCTTTCAAATTTTAAATTAAAAAAATAAATATTTTATATTAAGATTATTTCTAAAATTAAATATCCAAAATTTTTATATTATATTTAATTTGTGATACTTATTATTCATTTTATAAGTAAAAAATTGTAAAATAATGCTTCTATCTATGTTTTTTTTTATATCCACAAGTCTCCAAACCAACTTCTATTTACATTTTGAAAAAAAGAAAAAAAAGTTATAAACAGAAACAAGAAAGAAACAAGAAATAAAAAACGTTTCAACTTTACACAAATTTTAAAATATTTCTTAAAAATGTGAAACTATAAATAGAAGTTTCTATTTTTTTTAGAAAATTAAAAATAAGAAAAAAAGCAGAGGAATAATATCAAACCGCCCTGTATATATTAACAAATTACAAATTTCGCCATTTGGCCAACCACTCTCTCTCACCCATCAAAGAAAGAATAAATAATAATAGTAACCTTTCACAGATTACAATGATTTCGATATTGATGGATCCATAAACGTGTCTTTAAATGATTTTTTTCATCTATTGTTTCGCTTTAATTACATTTCTATTTTTACGTTTTGTCGTTTGACAAAAAATATAGAAAATATCAATAAAATACTACTAATACAAGCATGATAATATGATATCAATACTCAACATTTTTTCACTTATTTTTAATGAATGAATTCTTAATTGTTAATTTTGATATTTGTTATAAATTTTTTGTTTTGATAATATTTTTTAGAAATGTATATTGACATTAACATTTTCATAAAATTGAGATCATCTATGCCAATATTTAAAATATTCGAATATGATTATATATATTTCTATTTTTCCTTAAAGTTGAAGCATAAGAAGTTAAAAGAAATATATATTTAAAATATAGTTCAACTGATTAATATATCCATTTTCGATAAAAAAAAAATAGTGAGTTCGGAATTGCAATGACACGGTGCACTACAAATTATAAGCTTAAAAAAGACAAAGTAAAAAAGAAGTTACCAAAAATAGATGTTATTTCATTCCCTTTTGATACATTCAAGAAAAGTGGGCCAACCCATACAATGTACCTAAACTCATTCCCATCTCCACCTTGATTAGCAAACCATCTTATGCCTCTGTTTCTGTTTCTGACCACTTTTCTCTCTCTCTCATTCCAATACTTTGATTTACAAGCAGAGCCCAGAGGCAGTGGGAAACGTTTAGGAAACAGATTTACACTTAATTTTGATCCAGATCAATTTTACAATATGGATCTAAACTTTATCAGCTTCCTCCAGCTCCCCCCTACTCAAAGGGCTCTTCTCTCAGGGACAGACAGTCACAGAATCATAGAAACAATATCCATCTTTTAAAAATAGTTTCAAACACTCCTATAATTCGCACCGTTAAGGAACGAAGACCGTTGCATTTTAACGGAATTAGTACATGTGACATGAGCAAAATAAGTCACAGGTATTAACTCCATTAATAGTTACAGTGCGAACCATAAGGGATGTTTAAAACTATTTTTAAAACACCAAGAATATGATTTGCAGATTCTGTAGCTATCCCCTTTTCAAGATATATGAGAGTGAGAACCTATGACTGATTTGCTGTAATTCCCACAAAAGAATAGTGTCATCTTGCAATGGTTAAGAAGGTAAGTAGCAGTCTATGTTTTGATCTGCAGGCCATCCAAACTCTTCGAGGAATGCCAAAACAACTCCATTTGACCATCCAAAACCAGTCTAGATTCAGAACAAGATCAGCAAGCAATTAGATTAAAGAATTAGAAACTTTCATTTCTTAATAGTTCAAATGAGGGGAAGAGGAAAAAGCAAGTTGGTTCATGTACCTGAGGGATATATTCACCTCCTCCACCAAAGTCTCCACACTTTTCGACATCGTATTTCTCATGCATATACCCTGTATTCTTGTAAGCTACATAGTTGGTTCGGAGCCATTTCATGGCGATATCTTCCGCCAATGCCCTTGCTTCTTTCAATCCGGATCTTGCTAGTCCCTCGACAATCATGTGCTGAATTGGCGCCCAGCCGTTCGGAAAGTCCCTTTTTGTTTTACAGATTTGAAAGGTTTGAGTTTGGATTCCAAACAAAGACATTCAGACAGAAAAAAACCAGTTCCTGAGATTCAGTACTACTAACCATTGTTCTCCTGAATTGATCAATGATGTTGCAATCCCAGCATTGCAAAGCAAGCCAGAGTTCCGTAAACTTTTCAAGACTTTCTTCAGCTGTCTGTTATCTGAATGTACAGGCAAAATGAAATAAATCTCAGTTCTTACGTCTTTCCAATCGTTTTTTAACTTCCAAAGAAATTTAGCTGAAAAATGTATATGATCAAGAGGGATTTGCTACGAACCGGAGTAGAACGATTCGATCCACAACGGAATGAAGTTTGAAGCATATATTTCCTGATTCTGGTTCCGAGCATCCCATGTGTGGGCTCCCTGAAGGCATCACCAAAAGTCTCAATCAGCTTAATTGCTAAAAGAAACGTTTCAAAGGCTGAGAAACTTTTCAAATTTCTGTATGTATTTACCTTGTAAGAGCCATTTTCAAGCCAGTAATCCAGCCATTGTCCCTTCTCTGAATTCCAAAAAATAGCGTTGATTGTCCTCTTTCTGACTATAGAAGCTTCCAAGAAGTGATCTGCAGTGCAGTAATCTCCAATAGCTCTTGCCAAATTGGAAATGTCAAGTTCCATCTGAACCAATGCATACATCAGTTGTGCAAATGATGATAAAAAGGAGAGTCTGATATTCAGAAAGACTGGTTCGAGCCATACCTTGAGTACAAATGCATTGAGATCAACAGGCAGGATTGAAGATGTAGCCAATGTCGATAAGTCAGTCGAATCCCTTCAAGAAGCAAGCTCAAAAGAGTTAACTCAAACTGAATAAACTCTTAGCTCTGCAGATATTCCAGATCACAATATGTTATACCTCATCCATCTTGAACTGAAATCCCAACCAGATTCAGCTGCTGTTGCGAGTTCTCGGTACAGATGCTGCTTTTCATGGTTATTTACTAACTTCGAAGCAAGTTTCTCGTCCTGCCGATGGTAAATTATAGAGTCAAACACACGTTTACATACTATTATATCAGATGATTATATGGCAGGTAACTAGGATCCAAGAGGAAAACGCACCAACAGTGAAGATTCCGGCCTTGGTTCGTTCCACATGGCATAATACCTACACAAAGAATGATTTCCACCAGGAGCATTCCGGACAGCAACCGAATGGAATCCTAAAACCAACCGGGGGAATAAGTTACGAACTTATTAAAACTAAGGAAATTGATTAAATCATATAGTCGATCGCTTCGGCGTCTCGCCGTACCTGAATTCCAAAACTTGTGCTCTTCGATCAAAGCTGGGAGTGCAGTCCTCACAAACTCTAAATCCTCTGTCCTAAGGTATATGTCATAAACCATGGAACTCAAGAGGGGAGGCTGACTGCAAAATGTAATCCACAGTTCTAAAATCAGTTTCCAAAACTAAGATTTGAACAAATCTTTCACCCTCAGTAAACACATTATTCATGGGGGGGATTCTGAATGAAAAGTTTTTGAATCAATGATCAGCTACTGTAAAACAGTTCAAAAGATAATTTACCTTCTGTTAGTGTAATAAGCTCTGGCACCATTCAAAACATGGCCAAAATCTTCTATCATTGAAATGAGATTGATAACAATTCCCTTTGCAGTATCATACATTTTACTTGCTAATAAACCTCTGCACAGAATGTGGAAAAACAAAACCATTATTATCAAGCAGGGCTGAGCCAAAAAACAAATGAGGGGGCCCAATGCCCCCTAGTTTGTCTTACATTAAAAAAAAAAGTAATTATAGCTATAAGTTAACATTTGAAAGTTGTACTCTACTTTTGGATTTGATAGATTATATTTATATATTTGCCGTTTCTTTATGGAAAATATCTAATCTGAGTGCATTTGCTAGGTTTTACGGTGGAAAATTTCATTGAAACAAGTTGGACAGCCTGGGCATTTTTCTTCAGAAAATGACAAAGGGGAGAAACCAAGAGAAGGCTCCGCAGATAAGAACTATGCGAAGGAAAAAAGTCAAAAAAAGGCCAAAATCAACCAGCAAAAGCTTTCTTGGAAATGAACATGGTCAAGTAAATCATTAAAATAATGAAAGAACTGGAGACCGAACCGTAGCCTAGCCGCCATACCTGATAATCCAGTACGAATCCCAATAGTAAATTTCCCGGAATCTTGATCCCGGAACGACGCAGGGTTTCGGCAGCGGCAGCAGAGTGTGGGAATCCGGCCGCTTGAGGAGATCATCGGAGGTTCTACGGCTGAGATTCTTCCAGAAATTATGGATATCGAAAGCCCAAGCTCTGACCTCCGCGTTCTCGACCTTGGGCAAAAAGCCCGTAGGCTGGGGGACAAAATCCGCCGGCTCCGAATACACCAAATCGTTTCCGGCGCCTCCGAAATACTCCCTAATGAACGTCTTCAGTTGCTCAACCGGGACGGAGCCATTGGGGGCTCTCTCGAGGGCATCGAATGCGAGCTCGGTAGAATTGAGATCGTACTTGAGCGACAAATCGACATAGTATTTCAGATCGAAATCCAGCTTCCCGGAGGAGTTGAAGGCAACGAGCTGAAGGCGCTCGAGGAACCTGACGAGGTCGGTGACGGGAACGACGGGGCCTCGGTCGGCGGCGCGCGGCAAGAGAACTTCCGGCAGGGTCATGGCGGGGAGAAGGAGCAATGGGAGAGGAAGGAAGAGTAGGAAGAGGGAAATGGAAGAAGAATGAGAACAATGGGAGGCGATGGGCATATTTATTATGGAAATGGAGGTGATGACGGAGTGAGGAGTAGGAGAGAGAAAAAGTTGCAGAGGAGAGAGAGAGGGATTTGCGGTGAAGGAAGAAGGTGGTGACTAGGATTTGACAGAAATCGGAGGCGAGTGCTGAGAATCAGGAATTGGGCACAGCTGCATAGGGAAGAAAAAGGATTAAACAAAATTGATGCGATCAAGTTGTTGGGTTTTGATTTTCGGTTTCTTGAAAACTTTGAATTTTGTCCAATGGGTTTTATCCAATTGGCGAATCCTGCACTTTCCCGGAAACTTCTCTCTCTCTCTCTCTCTACAAATTTATGTGTGTTCTTGTTCTTGTTGTTATAGCAAAGTTTGGTCGAAAGTTACTCATGCGGGTCGAGATTTTGATGCCATGTTCACGTACATATCCGTATTTGTTTGATAGTAATGTTGTATTTTCAGTCATTCTTAGATATTTCGGGCATCCTAGATACCTATACGAGAGTGATCTGAACAATTTTAGATGCCCTCTGTAACATGAGTTTCTAATATTTCCGTATTAAGGACATATTCTTTTGACGATTTTGTCCCTCATCGTTTTTGTTCTATAATATTTTTCATCAATAATATTTATTTCTCATATATTTTGCACTAATTCATTGATAAATGTCTAAATATAATTTTATTTACATGCTACATTTAGATATAAAATAAACATTAGACAATGGTATAATATCTTAATTTGTTTTTAATTCAAATATAGGGTGCAATCTTTGTTTATTCTACTCTTCCAATAGTCACCAAACATAAACTAAAATTGACATAAAAATATAATATTAAATTAATAAAAGTAAAATTTTTATATGAATTCAAATAATATTAAATTTAACATATAAATTATATGATAACCGCAAATGCCATTTTTGAAACATTACATAAATTTACAATATTTCATGAATAAATTCTGCAAAACAAATATGGTTATCAAAAATATTCCCAGATATCTTTATAAATTTCCCTACAAAACAAAGGTGGTTATTTGAAATTTCGGACATCTAAAATTTCGGGTATATGAGATTTCAGATATCCGAAAAGACAAACGGCCTCTTTTAAGTTATTTTATTTTCATTGATTGCAGACTTTAAATCCAACTTTGGTTTGTATTCCAACTTTTTTTGTATCAAAAGTTTGAAGAAGTTGCTTATTAATTTATTTTGTTAAATATATGATTTTGTTGTTTGGATAAATATTTTTTAAAATTTTAGTTCTTTTATCATTTAAAAAGATTTGATTTAAACTCTTATGTTTTAGATTAGGGTCCAGGGATGACCTTCTCATGTATGTTGGTAAACATCGTTAGATAATAGTATTTGAATTAGATTAATGGTATTATTTGAATTAGATTTCCTATTTTAGGAATTATACTAGTATAAATATGTTTTTAGATTTGTATTTAGAGTAATTTAATTTAATGAAATCTTATTTGTTATTCTCCTTCATTTTTATCCTTCCCTATAAGTTATCTATGGTATCAGAACAACCTATAAGTTATCCAATATGTATGGTATCAGAGCAATCTCTGAAGGGGATGAAGAAGAAGTATTCTTGGAGGATGATTGGATTTGATTAGTTGATTTGATTTGAATTTCAAGGTGAATTTGATTTTGTGGTATTTGTTTACTGTGTTGATAGTTTGCATTGGTGTTTTGCATGGTGGTATTGGTTTAAGTTCGTTTGTAAATATTGGTTTGCGTGGTTTCTAATTTGTAGTTGGATTGTGTGTTGGGCATGGATGGACTTGGTTTGAAGCTCAATTGACTTGAAGTTTGAATTCGATGATGGTCGTCGTGTAACGAAACACGAAAGATAAACAACAAAATGGAAGCAAAAGAAAATATACGAATTCATTGGAATGAGAATTGTTACAAGAATTTATAAAGAAATAAGAAAACCGACCACTAATCCACTAAATATACCACTAGTCTTAAATTTCTCTCAAATCAACACCATAACTCTACTAAGCCACTGACCTATAAATTCTCCCAACATACCTCCACTCTTCTATTAAGCCTATAAACTCTTTCAACTTCCATCCACTCTTCAACTACTTAATTAACTCTTAAAAAGTGGAAATTCTAACCAATAAACTAACACAATGTTTACACTAATTCTTAACAGGTCGTGGTATTGGTATTGACATTGGTTGTTGGTTTGCCTTTGTCATTGGCGTTTGTTGGTTAGCATTGACGTTGGGTTGACATTGACATTGGTATGATTGTTTGTTGGCATGTTGCATATTTTGCCCTTATCATGATATTAGTTTTGGGTTTCATTTATGGTTTAGTTTTAGCTTTGGTATTGGGTTTGGTTTCATTTTGATTTAAACATTAGTTTTGGCTTATTTACCCAACTCACAATTAGTATTCTTGAATTTGAGAAGGGATGTTAGATAATATTTTTATTTGAATTATAATTAGATTTGAATTAGATTTTGTTTTGCATTATATTTTTTAAATTAGGTTTTTTATGATTGGAAATTATATTGGTATAAATATGTTTGGATTTTTTATTTTTTATTTTTTTGAAATGATGCATGACTTAGATTTTAAACATTTACAAGATGAGTTATTCAACCAATGCATTGTTTCATCTCAATATAATTACCCACGTAAATATCAATTAATAGATTTATTATTCAATTTGATTATCTTCGAAAATATAGTCGGTTAAAAAAAAAAAGAGAAAAATTTGTTTGGATGAATGACAAATATATCACAAATCATATTTTTGGGTCAAAGATTGTGGTTGTTTAAAACTAAAAGGTGGGGTAGGTAAGACTAAGAGAGAAGAGGCATACAAAAATGGATAAGTTTAAACCTTTTTGTTTGACGAAGCATTATCCATATTGTTAAATAAAATATAAATAAACAAGTAGCCCAAAGTTCTAGTATTGGAATTTGGAAATCCCTCTCCAACTATTTCCAAATTTTTTTTTCTTTTTTTTTTTTCACATTCTAGATCATGGGTAGCTTAAAATTGACATTTTCATTTCGAAAAATTTTGATCAAACTGTCAAAACATTAAACCTACAATATTACAGTTAAGAAAATGTTAAATTACCAAATTTGTTTCTTGTAATTAATTTGATTTTTATAGTTTTAAAAGTTTCAATTTGAGATTTCTTGAGAGATTTTATGAAATAATATCGATGTGATATCTATTTTTAAAAATGTCCCAATTTTCATTTTTTAATATATATATATTGTATTTCTGGATTGTGTAGATGCCTTTTATCTACCGATTGGATTTAGTGCGTTTTATATTACATTTAAATTCGATTTTGATTTAGATTGTGCTATTTTTACAAAATTTTAATTTTTCTTTTGTTGCATTAAATATACATATTTGCTATTCATATAAAACCTCACAAAATATATTCACCTTTACAAGTTGTCACTATAATGTCAGCAACATATAAAGTTACCATTTAATTACCTTTCTTGAGTTGAAAATGCTGAATCTCCATTAAAATTAAAATGGAGAAAAAAATATTGTTTAATTTTCATTTTCATCTCTTATTTGAAAGGATGTTTCTTTACCCCAAAAAAAAAGGACACCTCAACAGTCAATAATTAAGTCTTTGACATATTAAATTCAATCTCTTTGTTTGAAAAGGATGATTATTTACTAAATAAATGGACACCTCAAAAGTGAAGTGTTGACATATTGTCCATATAATTTATGGATATAATTAAGAAAAATTGCTTATGAACTCCAAAATAACTTAAAAAAAAGAATCTCATTCAACTTTAAGCATTAGACTTTCACCAACATTTATTAAGAAAGAAAAAAATAAATAAATAACTCATAATATTTATAATTAGATTTTGTCTAAATCATGATTAAAAATATAATAAAACATCGAACAAAGTATGATAAATCACGGCAAGAGCAAGGGCAACCCAATGAAATAGTATTCTTGTTAGTAACTCTAATTTGGCACGACTATATTTTGCGTTTTCCATTTCTCGTTTCTAATTATAAGTACTTTGTTAGATATCTAATATATGAATTAAATTTATCGAACTCATCATAAGCTTTTGGGGTGAGTGGTAGTTTATTATTTTATCATTCTCATTTATAAAATGCACCATAAATGTTACAAAAATAAATTTAATGTAACAATTTTAAATACCTTTCTAAAATTTACATGTAAAAGTTTTATCTTTTAATTTATAATTTGGGAGGGAAAAAATGGTCATAATAAAGTCTACATTTTTGTGCAATACCATTCAGGAGGTGGTTGCAACAACAAAAGTTAGGAAAAAGGATTGAAATAATCTATGGTTGACAAAAAGTAATAAAAGCTGAGAATATATGACCAAGGATGTGGAGCTACTGGGGATTAATCAACCTACCCACCAAGCATATGTTTATCTACTCCATCTTGTGCTTTTTGTTCTTTTTTTAAATAATTTTGAAGTTGGAGAGATTAACCATCGACTTGAAAAATGGTAATAAATGTCTTTAATCGTTGAGCAATACCCAGATTGAAAAAGTTTTTTTTTTTTTTTTTTTGACATTTTTCATCTTAGAATGTTCGCATGAATAAGCTTTCATAAACCCATAGAAAGAATCTTGAGCCAGCTTGATGATTTAAAGGAAGATTTTCTCTATTTATAAATTAGTAGAAGATATTCGTTGGACAAAAATAAATGAATGATTTTTTTTTTTTTTTTGTTCATATTTCTAGTGATGATAAATAAGACGCAAGTGTTTTTAAAGTTGGGCTTTAATCCGTCTGGGATGACTTTTAAAAAAAGTATATATTTTTTTAAACAAAATCATTTTTCTTTTACCAGCCCCCTTAAAAAGAATTACTAATTAAATGTGTATAGTATAGTTTCCTGAGTGGTTTTAGGTGACTACAAATATTTTTTAAAAAATAAAAATACATAATGTTTGGTAATAAATGAACAATATTTTAAAAAGTTTTGATTGCTTTAAAATAAAAGGATCATATTTTAAAGTGATGCTATAACAGATCGGCTGCCTGTCATTAAAATGAAACGATGATGGTCATGTGATCCTCATCTATACAAGTGTTCTTGTTTCTTTTTCAATGACGGACGGTTTTAATGTCGAGCAGTGCCCGTCATGAAAGGTAACCATGACGGACAACAACCGACACATTTACAAGTGTCATTGTTTCGTTTTAGTGACGAACCACCTTTAATGACTATCATTGTCTGTCATTGTATGTACGTCACTAAATATGCGTCATTAAATATTGTGACATCGTGTTCTAAAGTTGAATAAAAAAATAATATTGTTGGTTACACACTAAAAAACCAACAATATCCTCTTTCTCCATCTACAAGAAAATATGAAAATAATATTTTGTTTTTATATAATTATTGGCCGACTCACATAATCATGAAAGAACAAAATGAATAATTGAAGAGTTTAAAATACTGAAAATGAGCAAATTACACCCCTACGCACCAAAAAATAAAGAATGGAATGTAGTAATATATATGTAACAAAATACCAACCCACTGAACAACGGACATAAAGTTTCCATTACTGACTCTAAATCTATCACCCATTTCCATTGTTCTAAATATATTACCAGTTTTAATTAATATCTTAATAGTTTCCAACCTGTGCACAAAATATAATTTCAATAGGATTATATTTTTACACAACAAAATTAAGTCAACAAACTTAACTATAAGTAATTCAATTATCAATTTTTATATTTTGTCGATATTTTTACAATATAATAGAAATTTTAATCAATTTTTATGTCAATGTCGAACTCACGGACGTATATGTAAATGTCGACAAATATTTAATCCCATTTTATTATAAATTAACAAAATAAAATAAAGTAATAATGTATAAATTATTTATTAGTTTCCTATTCACTAATTAATAATGATTTAGAACATACCAAGATCTAATGAGTGTTTATCCGGGCAATTGTCTTGTCCAATTCTAATTATAGAATTATTTTATTATTTTTTACTTAAAAACTAAAAAATACATTAAAATAAAAGAAAAGTCCACAATTGAAGTTAGATACATGAACAGAACAGAAACAGATGTCTCCTGAACCACCCAATGAGTTTATGCCACGTGTCACGCTTGATTAGGTACTACACATGGGATGACGATTTTAAAAATAAATATAATAATTTTAGGATGAATTAAAACAAAAACAATTCTATTTTGGTCGGTTCTTAAATTTGTGTTTTAAAATCTTCAACTTTTTGCCCATTTTCTTCTATGTATAAAATTATAAATGTCCCTCTGTTGTTGTCAGGTTTTGCATTTGAAAATAATTTATGGGAATCTCTTGCTCAATCATTTATTTAATAATTAATATAAAAGAAAAGAATATTACCAGTTAGTTCAATTAAGAATTTCATCTGTTGTCCTTTGCAAAAAAAAGAATTTCATCTGTTGAGCTTTCACCGTTATATATATGTGCATTAAAATAAAAGAAATTAAGCAATTTATAACATTTTTTTTTTTACCTCATCTATTATCATAATGAAGTTGTGGGAAAATTAATGAATCAAGGGTTGACTTGAGATCTCGTGAACTACGAGATTTAAAGCTTAAATAACTTTTTTATTTTATAGATATAATGAATTGAAATTTTTTTCTTCTCCAACTAATGTAGTTAAATGAAACAATGAAAGTGACGTTTAAAAAAAAAAAAGAAATTACCCAAATAAGGATATAAATCACTCAAAATAGGGCCAAGATGATGGTTTAAAATATTGAGAGACCAAAATGAATATTTAATATAGAGATCAAAATAAAACAATGCTAAAAATACAGAGACAAAAATAGTATTTTACCAGAGAGGAACTACCCTGCTTTGTAAATTTTCTCTCAATTTAGCATTGCATATGCATGCCATAGAAGAGAGAATGACCCAACGTTTTATTACAGTTTACAGACAATTCTATTCTTTTTTCTTTTGTTAAATGAGACAATTATTATGTTTGATAGCATATATGAAAATAAAATTTTAATTTTAAAAAAATTGTTCAAGATATTTAATAACGTACTATATAATTTATAAATTTTATAGAATTATTATTTTACAATATTATATAATTTCTTAGAAATTAATTTATGAGATCAAATATTATATTTATCAAAAAATTTTATCTTTTCTATATAATTCTAGATTTTAAAATTTCAATTTCAAAATCTAAAAACACTTAAAATATATTTTCTATCTACATATTTACTGAATTCATTTGGTTAACTGAATTCGAGAAAAATGAATAAAATTTGAAAAGCATACCAAACAGACTCTAACTTTTCCGAGTCTATTACAGCGCAAAAAAAACAACTTCATTGCTTAAGTTTGAAGAGAATAACTATATTTAATTTTAAATGGTATTTAATTTTAATAATAAAAAAACCATAAATATTTTGAATTCCAAAATGATAGAATTCATTGAAGACAATTAGAGTACCAAGAAGCGATCTTGGTCTAGGGTCACGAGAAATCAAATCGTGTTCCCTACATTTGTAACGCAAGAGTTTGGTGGCTTCTGCCTGCCCCCGATTCCAACTGTCTCATGACGTCATATCAGGACCCACCCACCACCACATCCAATGACGCACCGCCACGTAATCTGTTCTGTAACGAACCCGGCACCGTCTTGGTGGGTCCACAACTTTTTATTATTTATTATTTTTATTTTTGGCCTAAATGAACTTTAGATTTAGGTTTCAATAATATGTCTAAAATTTTTTAAAGTTTTATTTTTCCCTAAAACTTTACACTTGTTTCGAACTACCATTGTGTAGATTTTTCGTTTTCTACTAATGGAAAATGCGGTGATGACTTGTAAAATGGCTACGTAGTAAAAATTATAGATTTTATTTATCCTCCTAAACTTTATGAATCGATTCAATTATGCTCTTATCATTTTAATAAAATTCATTTAAACCCTTAACCATTGAAATTGTTTCAAAACATTCATTTCATTAGCTTTACTTCTTTAACATGAATATGTAAATATAATATCATGGTAAGTTGCAGAAGAAAATCAAATAGTCTTAGTCACATTCGAATTGACATTATATTAATTTGGGGTAGGAGATCGAATTTGGGGATTGAGTGTAAAATATTATTTTCTCTTCTTGCAATCAAAAGATGGGAGAAGCAAAAACTTTGGAGGGATTAATAAACCATGAAGGACATACAAAATTTGAGGTCTCTATTTCACGATAAATTAACAAAAATTAATGTTAGGGGGATGAATGAAGGAGAGGAAGAGAGAAATAAAGAAATCACAATCTAATCTAAAGACCATTTTTTCTCGATAGATTTCTTACCTTTGAAGATGAAAATTGTATTCATTAGGTGTTTTTTTTTTGTTCTTTCCGAGTCATTGGTTAAGTCTTCCCTCTGATCAAGATAATTTTGAATATCTCACGCCCAACGCATACCTTTATTTTTCAACTAGTTGCTACATTATTTTTCATCTTCATTTAAACGAGGAAGCTAATGAAGTTACTTTGAAATAATTTAAAAAATTAAAGGTTGAAATGATATATTTGAAAGAAAAATGACCTAATCAAAACCTACCTTAAAGTCTAGGAGTATAATTAAATCTTGAAAACTATACCATATGTACCACCTAGAAACAAAATTGAAGGTGATTTTGAAGCAAATTTATTGTTTAAGAGTAAAATTGATACTTTAACAGCTTAGAAGTATTATTGAAATTATTCAGAAGTATTTTGTATAATTGAACAATTTTTTTAATTTAATAATTAGGTCCAACTTGCGTACGCGGCTAATATTCAATTTTTAAAACGTAGCCTCCCTCCACGTCTAATCTAGCATTCTGTATCCTTTTTTTTCATTATCATATAAAATTATTAAAAATAAATTCATGAAATTTATGACTTTTATCCTATATTAAGCATAAAATACATTGAGAAGGTCAGCCAGCATGCGTGGGATGTATTTCGATATTGATGTAATATGAAATTCTTCCGTCCCCACCATGAATGCTTCTTCCTTTCTTTCCTTCCCATCCTTTTATTTAACCTCTAATAAGTAATATATATTATTTTTTTAAAAAGTAAACTATATATATGACTAAATTAAAAAAAAATACCCTTAAACTTTGTCCATTATTTAAAAAATACCTCTACCCTTCAAAAGAAAACTTTTTGATACCATCCTTGACATTTTATAAAGATTTTAAAATACCTTTAAACAAACATCAATGATATTTTTAATAGAAAGTTGATGTAATAAAACTTTTTAATAGAAAGTTGACGTAATAAAATTTAAAACAACTAAAGAAGAAGCTTGTCCGGCTGACACTACAAAACAATTTTTTTTTTTTACTTCTACAAAACAAATTTGATATTAATCCGTTGTGGTTGATGAATTATTTTTATTTGTCATTAAATGTTAAATTTGTTATAGTGCCAGCTAAATGTGAAAGCTATTACCACATCGTTCTATATTATGTCATGTCAACTTTTCGTTTGAAATATTAACCGATGTTTATTCAAAAAGGATATTCTTGAAATAATAATGAAAGATCGGAGATAGTATTGAAACTTTTGAAAGTATAAGAGTACGTGGGTAAACAAGGCAAAGAGGCAAAGTTATGGGGTATTTTTATTATTGTAATCTATATACTTTTTCCCTATTTAATTAGTCTATGTTTTGATCTGCAGGCCATCCAAACTCTTCAAGGAATGCCAAAACAACTCCATTTGACCATCCAAAACCAGTCTGAATTCAAAACAAGATGAGCAAGCAATTAAATTAAAGAATGAAAAACTTTCATTTCTTAATAGTTCAAATGAGGGGAAGATGATAAAGCAAGTTGATTCATGTACCTGAGAGATATATTCACCTCCTGTTCCAAAGTCTCCACACTTTTCGACATCATATTTCTCATGCATATACCCTGTCTTCTTGTAAACTACATAGTTGGTTCGGAGCCATTTCACGGCAATATCCTCCGCCAATGCCCTTGCTTCTTTCGATCCTGATCTCACCAGTCCCTCAACGATCATGTGCTGAATCGGCGCCCAACCGTTCGGGAAATCCCTTTTGTTTTTTTTACAGATTTGAAAGGTTTGAGTATGGATGTGAGACAAAGTCATTCAGAAGGGAAAAAAACAAAAAAAACAAAAATCCAGTTCCTAAGATTCAGTACTCCTAACCATTGTTGTCCTGAATTGATCATTGATGTTGCGATCCCAGAATCGCACAGCAAGCCCGAATTTTGTAAACTTTTCATGACTTTCTTCAGTCGAATGCTGTCTGCATATAGAAAAACAGACACAATAATGAAATTAATCTCAATTCTCACTTCTTCTTATTCCTTTTCACTTTCAAATAAATTTAGGTGGAAAATGCAAATGATCATGAAGGATTAGATACAAACCGGAGTAGAACGATTCGATCCACAACGGAATAAAGTTTGAAGCATATATGACCTGATTCTGGTTACGAGCATCCCATGTGTGGGCTCCCTGAAAGAATCACCAAGAGTCTCAATCAGCATAATTGCTAAAAAAACGTTTCAAAAGCTGAGTAGCTTTTCAAATTTCTATACATATTTACCTCGTAAGAGCTATTATCAAGCCAGTAATCAAGCCATTGTCCCTTCTCTGAATTCCAGAATATAGAGTCGATTGTCCTCTTTCGGACTGAAGAAGCCTCCAAGAACTGCTCTGCAGTGCCAGAATCTCCAACAGCTCTTGCCAAATTGGAAATGTCAAGTTCCATCTGAACCAATGCATACATCAGCTGTGCTAATGATGAATCGATGATAAAAAGGAGAGTCTGAGATTTAACCTTGAGTATGAATACATTGAGATCAACTGGCAAGATTGAAGTTGTAGCCAATGTCGATAAGTCGGTCGGATCCCTTCAAGAAGCAAGCTCAAAGAGTTAACTAAAACTGAATAAACTCAGCGTTTTAGATATTCCAGATGACAATGTGTTGTACCTCATCCATCTTGTACTGAAATCCCAACCAGATTCAGCTGCCGATGCAATTTCTCGGTATAGATGCTCCTTTTCATGGTTATTTACTAACTTCGAAGCAAGTTTCTCATCCTGCAGATAGTAAATTATGGTCAAACACAAGGTTACATACTATTACATCAGATGTTATTATGGCAGGTAACTGGGATCCAAAAGGAAAACACACCAACAGTGAAGATTCAGGCCTCGGTTCGTTCCACATTGCAAAATACCTACATAAAGAATGATTTCCAGTAGGAGCATTCTGGACAGTAATCGAATGGAATCCTAAAACCAACAGAGAAGGAGTAAGTTACAGACTCATTAAAATGAAAGAAATTGATTAAATCATATTAGTCGATAACAATGGTGTCTCACCGTACCTGAATTCCAAAACTTATGCTCTTTGATCAAAGCTGGGAGTGCAGTCCTCACAAACTCTAAATCCTGTGTCCTAAGGTATATGTCATAAACCATGGAACTCAAGAGGGGAGGCTGACTGCAAATTGTAATCCACAGTTCGAAAATCAGTTTCCAAAACTAAGATTTGAACAAAATTTTCACCCTCAGTAAAAACAACAAATTATTCATTGGGTTGGGGGTGGGGAAGTTTTTGGATCAATGATCAGTTATTGTGATTTGTGAAGCAGTTCAAAAGATGATTTACCTTCTGTTGGTGTAATAAACTCTGGCACCATTCAGAACATGGCCAAACTTTTCTATCATTGAAATGAGATTGATAACAATTCCCTTTGCAGTATCATGCATTTTACTTGCTAACAAACCTCTGCACAGAATGTAAGAGAAAGCATTAAGGACAGGTAGGGCCAAGAACAAATGAGGGGGGCCCAATTCCCCCCTCGTCTTTCTTACATTCATTAAAATATATAAAGTTAAGATTTAAAAAGTTTTACTGAACAATTAGAATTATGTTTGCCCTCTCTTTATGAAAATTTCCGACTGCTTTTGCTGGATTTTACAGTGGAATATTCCATTCAAACAAGTTGCACAGCGTGAGCAATTTTTCTACAGAAAATGACAACGTGGAGAAAGAAACCAAGAGAAGGGTCCGACAGACAAGAACTATGCGAAGGAAAAAAGTTAACAAATGGCCAAAATCAACAAGAAATTGGAGTAAAAAAAATTGAAAAGAATAAAGAACTCGAAACGAAACGGTGGCGTAGCCGCCGTACCTGATAATCCAGTAGGAATCCCAGTAGTAAGTTTCCCGGAATCTTGATCCCGGAATGACGCAGGGTTTGGGCAACGGGAGCAGAGTGTGGTCATCGGGGCGATTTAGGAGATCATCGGAGGCTGTACGGCTGAGATTCTTCCAGAGACGATGGATATCCAAAGCCCAAGCTCTGACCTCCGCGTTCTCCACCTTGGGCAGAAATCCTTTGGGGAGGGGGACAAAATCCGCCGGCTCCAAATACACCATATCATTTCCGGCACTTCCGAAGTACTCCCGAATGAAGGTCTTCAATTCCTCAACCGGGACGGAGCCATTGGGGGATCTCCGAAGGGCATCGAAAGCGCGCTCCGTGGAATTCAAATCGTGCTTGAGCGACAAATCAACGTAGTATTTGAGGTCAAAATCCAGTTTCCCGAAGGAGGTGAGCGCCGCAAGTTGAAGGCGCTCGAGGAACTTGACGAGATTGGTGACCGGAACGACGGGGCCTCCATCGGCGGCACGGTGGAAGGGAAGCTCCGGCAGAGTCATGGCGGGCGGAAGCAGCGGGAGAAGGAGGAGGGTAATTAGAGAAGAATGAACGGCAGTGGGAGGATGAAGGAGTCGAAGGAAGGCCATATTTATGGAGGTCGAAGATGGTGACCACTGAACTGAGTAGGATTGAAATTGATGGGAAAGCGAAGGAGTACGGAGAATTAGGTGAATGAAAAAAGAAAAAAAGAAAAAAAAAAAGAGCTCTCAATTGTAAAATCAAAGGCTCTGGGTTCAAATACCACCGCGAGTGGACGCTACACAGCTGAATTTGACTCAACACGTGACACGTGTCAGATTTAGACGTGGTAAGGATTGACAGATGGAGGGTTATTTTTTTAATTCTATGATTAGTAGTGCGTGGCCGTTCTTAGTTGGCGACTTGTCTAGTTAATTATTTATAATTGTGCTGTGCTTACTCTGTCCATCTTCTTTTCATGACTATATTAAAAAAAAATTTGAGAGGAAAAAAATAATAATTTATTGATAAAAAGCCACTTGGACCACAGATGAAGGAAAGTCTCCAAAGATTTAACAACCACAGAGGAAAAGAATCGAGCCAATAAAATGTGGCAGAGCGCAACAGACCATGTTTAGCAAGTGTGCGAGCAGAATGGTTGCTACCACGAGGAGGGTGAGAAAAGGAAATGGAAAAAGAATGAGTGAGCATCATTTCTTACTTCTATAAGACACTTGAACTCATCATTTTTTTAAGTTCAAAAATATATTTTAGATTTTCTAAATTTATAGTTTAACAAAATTATAGGTGCTTGATCAGGAATTTGATCAACTCTGCCAGCGTCGGTTCGGTTAGGATGATGTGGATAGTGAGCTTTGGATACTGCACAGTAGATTCGTAAAATAGACTGAACACTCTGATACCAAAATCAATGAATGTCCAGATCAACTCTAGAGAGACAATCATATTGTTCGCGTACCTCAAAATGAAGTGGAATGGTTCTATTTATAGGCGAAGTCTCCGACAACGTTCCCGACAAAGCCTCAACGACTCTTTAAGGTAACCGTGAAGTGCGACGTGATGTCACGGAGTTTGTCGTGGAATCGACTGTCCAAGTAACTTATTTGGTTAGCTCGGCCGTTGAAGAAGGTCAGCTCGACATGAGGATTCATGACCGAACTGAGTAAACAGATTTCTTAGTAAGGGAAGCCACGTGTGCTTTTGAACATCCAATCATAGTGTGGCACATGTGAGCTGAGAAATCACCTCCAACAATAGGTTAATGTTTAAGGGTTTTTTTTTTATTTTTTTAAACGTAGACTCTATTATTTGAAAATATTTTTTTTCTCCTTGAAAAACCACTTCATAAAGGAAACAATAAAATGTATCGTGGGCTGTAAGAATTGAAACGTCACAAGAGGGAGAAGTTACAAAACCACAAAAATGGGAAGATCGATCAAAGCTTGTAGGACTCTTTAGCAAGAAGATGAGCCACCCTGTTTGAATCCCTACCTAACCGAGGGAAAACTGGAATCTAAGGATATGATATATCTTGAGACCAAGTTTTTGATTCATTTTGCTACTTTGTATCAGCACAATCTTGTTTAGACAGACAATTTGAACATCACATGAGTATAACATAACCCAGACGCTTAGCAAACCTAACCCTCTTCATCCATAGCCAATAATTCAGCGTGACGAGAATAAATTTATAAGAACAAGAATCAAAAACTTAGGATGCGTTTGGTTGGTAATCAAAAAACAAAAATTTGAAAACAATGGATTCAATGAAAATTCAGTATTTTCATATATGTGTTTGGTAGCATATTTGGTAATTGAATCTCAATTTAAAAAATTGTTCAATCTGTGTTCAGTGATATATTTTTAAACTAGAAGTAGGTGCAAACTAAATTTTAGTTTAATCTAAACTTATATTAATTAATTTATCAACATTTTTTTTATGAATTTTGTATAATTGTTATTTTACAATTAGAATACATTATATTTTACATGTTTTAATTTTAACAAACATAAAATGAGTTTATAATATGAAGTAATATATTTATCAAAGTTTTTATCATTTTTAATGTAATTCTGCGTCTTCAAATTTTCAAATTCTGAATCTGAAAACACTGAAAACATAAAAAAATCGTTTTCAGAATTTCTACTGTTTAAATCACAGAATCCGAAAACAGTTTTAAAAAACAAATATCCAAAATCCTGCCAAACACATATTCGCTATATCCATTTGATTCAGTGAATCTGAAAATAAAAAACAGAGTTTCCAACCAAACAGGCCCTTAGCAAGTTGGATTGACACAATAAGTGTTCTTTCTTGAAACTATAAGTGGTGGTGTATAGCTGATCTTAATTGGTAGAGCAATTTGTCTTAATAATGATCCATCTTAAATGTATACTTACTCTGTCTTGATTCTATGAGTGGTAGTGTATAGGTGTTCTTTGAGCGATTTGTCTCGTTAATGACCCATCTCGAATATATATATATATATATATATTTTGTTTAAAAACAATAAATAGTGGTTAAACTTGTAATGATGTTAGCACATGGATGTTTACTCTGTCTTGATTTTCATTTTAACATTTGGAGTTATTTTATTTTATTTTTCCTTATTATTGATTGATTGTGAGTTTAAATTCGAGTTTGGTTGGTGTTCCAACCTCAGTTTTGAATAATTTGTTCACAAATTATTGGCTTAAAATATAATTTCCAATCTAAAATGTATTTATCCTTAATTGGTTCAACTCATGTGGTTTTAATACATGTTTACACTTTTACACTTTTCAAATTCATAAACTAAAATAGATATTTTAAAACGTTTAGTACCTAAAATTAAACAAACCTAAAAATAAAAAATCGAAATGAATATTCTAAAAGTTAAGTTGATGAATCAAAATTGAATTTAAACTTTAATTATTAGAGTCTTTTTTTAATTGATTCTTTAAGTATAATTTAATTTATGCACGTGTTTTTTTGTCTTTTATTTACAATTGTGAGTAGATGTGTTTACCTGTCACATTTGAATATGGTTTCATTGGTTATTACTTTAATGAAGTTGGTAGGTTTTGAATCTTTATTTATTGTTCAAACTCTAAAAATATCCTTACCCACTTGCTTGAATCTTTTCTAAAATTGTGCTTGGAAATTTTTTTGTGTATTCTAATTATTTTTTTACTACAATTTAAAGAGATAAGCCAAAGCAATTTTTTCCTTCTTTTGTAGTATAAAATATAAAATAGCAGCCTTCACATTTTACACTCCTAATTTAACTCACAGTCTCTTAACAAAATTGAATAAGTAGTATAAATTGAGTCTCTTAATTAAGTAAATTTAGGATTTTAATTGTTGAAATTATTAATTTTAGATTTTAATTTACTTGAGAATGTTAAAATTGGTTGATGATAAACTTATATGACAGTTGGCACGACATTTAGTGATTAGGCAAAAATTTAGAAGATAGATTAAGTCATTTAAGAGAGAAAATTTTCTAATTCCTCCTCCAAAATTCAAAAAATTTGACTTTTCATTTCTTAAGTAGTCCAATCTTCGTTCTAAAAAAACAAAATAAAAAAAAAGAAAATAATAATAATAATAATAATCTAATCTCTTTTTCAAATTTCTGTCAAACAATTCATTAATTGCGAGGGTATGAATGATAAATGTTAAAACACACGCAACGGAAATTGAAACATTTTCAACCATAGAGATAAAAGTGGGAAAAAAACACCCAAACACTCCGGATAAAACATATATTTGGCCTTAATTTTATTATAATATATATTTTTATAAAATTAATTGCAAAACAGAATTATGATAATATATTTTAAATACTACTTTATCAGCATTATTTAAATTAAATGTTAAAAATAAAATCTAGTATTGATTGTTATCATTATTGTTAAAAATAATATTTAGTATTGATTGTTATCATTATGCAACTAAAATCAATAAATTTTGACTTATAAGTTATACAATAAAAATATTGACAATGATTAACCTATAATAATTTAACATGTAAATCTTGATTAATAGATTTATTCAATAATCTTTAACAAATCTAGTCAATTAAAAATGAAAAAAGCAAATTGTTTTCATGAATAAGAACCAAAAAAATGTAAAGAATAAAAAAAATCAAACGCTAAAATTGAACACAAAATTTAACTGGGGATGGTTTAGATAAGTGAGGGTGCAACCAAGGATTCAATGAGTTAGTATTTTTTTTAGTGTTTTATATGTATTTGCCAGTAAATTTGGTAATTGAATCTCAATTTAAAAAATTATTTTTAGTAATATATTTGTAGCTAGAGTAGTTACAAACTAAATATTTAGTTTAATCTAAAGTTATATTAATTAATTAATTAATATTTTTTATGAATTTTTTATAATTATTATTTTACAACGTTATATAATTTAGAATACATTATATTTTACATGTTTCAATTTTAACAAACATAAAATGAGTTTATAATATGAAGTAATATATTTATCAAAGTTTTTATCATGTAATTTTGCATCTTAAAAATTTCAAATTATGAATCTGAAAACGCTAAAATCATAAAAAAAAATTCGTTTTCAGAATTTCTACTGTTTAGATCACAAAATCCAAAAATAGTTTTAAAAAACGAATCTCTCAAATATTGACAAACGCTTATTCACTCAATCCATTTGATTAAAACAAACAACAGAATCCAAGTTTTTAATCAAACAAGCCTTTAGTTTATTGTTTTATTATTGGATTTTTTTAAAATAATGACACAAATAACGTAGGTTACAACATATTTTTAAAAATATGGTAATGAAATCGTAACCATTTGTTGCAATTTATGAAAAAAAATCGAGATCATTAAATGCGATTTAAATAAAATTGTTGCTTTTAGGAGCTTCAATCGCACATATGTTTTGATGATTAAAAAAACTTAATTTATTTATATTTTTAATGTTTTAAAGTATTATAGAGTTGAAATGACCAATCTAATACAATTTGAATGGTTGAAATCGAACTTCAAATAGATCGGTTAGAATCGAAAAAGAAAAAGATGACATGGACGAATCATACATTGACACATGACCAACTAGATTATTAAAAAGGAAAAACGACGACACGAGGAGAGAGAAAATATAGAAAAGTTAAAAAAGGAAAGGAAGTAAAGGGCGGTTGAAAAAAAAAAAGAAGGAATATATATATATATATATATATATATATA